GATCAGGAATGAAGGATCGAGGCAACATGAAGGAGCGAATAGACAGAAAGAAAAAAACGAGATAGATGGGAAGAAGAACACAAGACAACTTGAAAAAACGAAATGGACACAAGACAGGGCACGAGATGAAAGAGACAATGATAACAACAGTAAGGTGAGCGAAAAAAAAGAAAGTGGGAGTAAAGAAGGAAGGCGATCAACATAATGGGAAAAAGCAATCAGAAGGGAGCAGAAGCATAGAGCAATTAAAGAAAACAGCAGAGGTAGAGATGAAAGAAACAAAATACATTAAAAAATAAAGAGCAAGAAAGATGGGGAGCACGAGAAACATGATAATAGGTCAAATAAGAATGCGCAAAACGCATGGAAAGAGGAGTAGGAGCTAACGTACGAAAAAGAAGGGAAGGAAAACAAAAGCGAGATAAAGAGCAAACGACAGAAAACGGCAAAAGAGAGAGAGGGGGAGAATGTGATAAGCAATTAGATAGAAGAAGGAAGAATACAAGAGAAAGGCAGAGAGAATCAAAAAAGATTAGAAAAAATAAGAGAAGCCAGGGCGCAGGAAAGCAACAAAGGAAAGAAGACATAGAGGACAGCAAATCGAGGAAAAAGACGAAACAAAAGTAGATGGAATGTGATAGCAATATAAGGAAGTATTGACGAAGAAAAGAGAGAGCAAGAGATATAGACAATGAGGAAATCAGAAAATAGGTAATGGAAAGGAAATTAGAACGAAGCAAAAGGAAAAGGAGACGCAAGAACAAAGCAAAAAATAACGAAAAGAGGAAAGAAGAAAGACAGTAGCAAGCAAGAGAAAGCAACACAAGAGCAGATAAACAGGGTTAAGAAGAGAAACGATCTAAATAGGAAAGGCAAGAAAAAGAGAGAGTTGAAAGAACAAGCGAGAAAGCAATGAGGAAAGGAAAGAGAGACGGAGACGAGCATCATAAAACAACTAGCAAGACAACAGGCAAGAATAGGAAAGACAGAGAGAAACAACGGAAACAAAAATAACAAAGTAAGAAGAAGCAGCTAAGGCAGCACAGCAAGTAGTAGAGAAACAAGAAAGAACCAGAAAAGGCAAACGAAGAGAGTAGAAGCGGACGACAGTAATAGTCAGGGATAACGAGAAGAACGAAAGAAAGAGGAAAAAAAAAATAAGGAAAAGAGATATAAAATAGAGGAAAAAATACAAAATGCAAGACAAAGAAGAAACAGAAGAGAGAAGACAAGAGGCACACAACAGAGAATCGCAACAGCAATAGAGACAACACGGAAGAAGGGAAAGGAGGAATGGAAGGGAAAAGAGCAAGAGCGCAACAAAATCAAAGTACGTAAAGAGAGAAGAAAGCGAGATAAGGGAAGTATAGGCAGAGTAAGCATCGGGCAGTAAAACAAAAAGCAAGAAGCTAGAGGGGAAAACAAAGACAGCAACAATGAGACAAGTACAACTGAATAGCGGGAACGATAAAAGAAAAGCAAATGAGAGTAAACAAGATAATGAAATTAAATATAGCAAGGCAATAAATACGATAGGAAAGAGGAAGGTAGGAAGAAAATAGAAGGTAGAAGAGAAGGAAAGAGGAACAGGAAAGTGACAAGATAGAATGACACAGGAAAAGGCAAAGTAAGTACAGGAGAACAAAAAAAAAAGAGAAGTAAAATGAAAAGAAGAAAGGAGAAATGACAAACAAGACAGAAGTAAGAACTTAAGAAAGGAGATTTAAGTAAAGAAAGAAGGAAGGAATAGCACAGCCAATAAGGAAGTAAAGAAGCAAAAAAAGAGAAGGGTAAACGAAAGGAGAAGAAACGAGAAAAGAGAAAAGAGGAAATTAAGAAATTAGGAAAGGAAGGGAAACAAGCAAAAAACATAAAT